GTGGACAGGTCCTTTGTTCTTCGGCCATGTCTAATTCTGGATTGGTTTCGGTTTCAGAGGAAGAATTAGAATCTGTTTCAGAATCAATCTTGATTTCAGGTTTAGGTAAAGGAATAGCGTGATTTAAACAGTAATCCCTGACTGCACGTCTTACGGAAAGAATGCGTTCAGGTTCGTCCGTCGATTTGTCAAGTGGTTCGCCTTATGAGTGAGTCCTTGGCATACAAATCGACAAAGGGGTTTCTGTTGCCTAGTCTAAACGCGCAACAGAAGAATCGTAATTAATTGACTACCAGTCCCAGGCAACAACGCCAAAAACTTGATCGGGACTTTATAAGTCTGTCGGGATACTAACTGCAAGTATACAGTTCAGTCGTTCTAGTTTTAAAATATTATCGAACCCACAGAGACTGAGGATCAATCGCATACGATCTAATGCTACAACTTGTCTAACTAAGCGATGAATATTCGATTTTTGGGGGAAACAGTTTAATTAAAAATAATAGTACTAATTATACCGGTATGTGATAATCAGACTTAGGGAATTCGGTGAATCGCTTGGCCTTAAAGTATTTCGGTAAAAGCTAACTGTTTAAAAACCTGAGACATACACTCTCGTGTTTATGAAATAAGTCATGCTACTAAACCTAGTGGATGCACTTTAAATTTAATAACACTTTTTGAAAACAATTTGAGTTTAATTAATTTATTAAAACACTCTTGTGTATTTAAAAATCAATGCTTCGTTACCACTATCTGGGTTGAACCCCAGCTCTCGCATGCAGGTTCCTGCCTTAATTAATTTTCCACTCTCGTGGCAAAATCGTGTTAATTAACCTCTCACTCTCGTGACAAGGATAGTTAAATTAATCTTGGAAATTGGAAACCAGAAATTGTTTTATAAATATTTTTGGCCAAGGTATCACTGAATTCTTTCAGTTCTTACGATCACATACCGGTATTAATAATTTAGCCAGACATAATTAACTTAACAGCAATACAGTTCAAAATATAATTCATAGCAATAATTGGCATAATATAAAAACTGAATGAATAATAATTGCAATATAAAACCTGGAATCAAAGTTGCTATGGTAATCTTGAAGTATTACAATAATCCAATCTTTGAGCTTGATTTGCAGTAAATAATTCGTGTTAATTCTTGAAAGAAGAATTAACACTTAAAACTAAAAACTAAGATTTTGAATGAAAATTACAGGAACGTGAAAACAATATTCCAAAACAAGGAAAATGGAAAATAACTGCAAAAGAAAATAATATTTGTTCTGAGGAAAATTCTTCGACCCTTGAACTATGCACTGGTACACATATATATAGCATAGGAAAATCAATAGTTCAGAATTCTTGATGAAGTCTTCAATGGAGAAAATATAGGAGCACTAATAGTGGTTGCAGGAAAATAGGAGACTCAGCAGAAAAAGGGAGAACGAGTATGCCCTTAATGCCCACGTCTCAATCCATGTATAACGTCCACCTTCACGCGCGTGACGGTCGTCACAGGTGGGTGACTGTCATAACGCGCTGAAGTAGTGCATTACGCTCGTCAGTGGTGTGTGACGAGCGTTTCTTCATGTTGGGGGTGTTACGCCCGTCACAAGGACGTGACGACCGTCACTGTTCCAAAAATCTAAACTTTGTATTTTTTTAATTCTTTTTCTCTTTGTTTATTGTCTAGCCTTCTTCATGTTGTCCTTTTCCATCGGTTTGATTCGACAAATGTTATACCTGTAAAAAAGACAAATAATCTCGGAATAATCGGGGATTAGACGACTTAATAAAATATAAAATCGGTAAAAAGCATGGTAATTATATGATATGTTTTCTCGTTATCATCTTCCACTTACATCCTTCAGACAAATTCGTATACAAGTACACCAAACAAGCAGCCCCCAGTTCCACTGGTGGATCTGTTCAAAATCATCAAAGTGCCCCATGTACATCACATTTATGTAAGTGACACTAATGTCCATAAAAATCTGTGTGCCAACCAAAAATAAAATGTATGCTCTCAAAGCAAACCTCCGGTGTCGGGTTACCTTCTCGGGATCACCATCAGCCACTTGTGCACATCTATCTCATCCGCGAACACCATCTTCAAATAACTATATCTGATGTGGACACCACGGGTGAAGTCCATCTCAGCCATGACACTCTCAGAGATAACTCCCAATTTCTCTACCAAGATATCCAACGCCTCATATTTGTCAATCCTGTCATGATCTAAAAATGTCCATCTAATCGGAAGATGCAGCAGAGACGCGACATCGTCCAGTGTGTTCGTCATCTCACCATGTGGTAGATGGAATGGCGACGTCAAACCATGGCTCAAGAGAGGCTTCGAGTTTACAAATCTTCAGCGGATCACGTTCCTGCATACATGTTTGAAAAAATTCATTCAACAAAAATCCATAATAAAAATGTAATAGAAGGAACAATTCAAAATCCATACCTCTTTGTCCCATATATGTCTAACAACATGGTCTGGGTACAGAGGCATTAGAGATAAATCAGACGGTCCTCCTCCAAAACCCTGAGGTGCCGACTCAGGTACCTGAGATATCTGAGGTGTCGCCTCAGGTGTCGTCTGTGACTAAGGTTGAGACGTAGGTTGTGGCTGGGCCTCAGGTGTCGACTGTGTGACCTCTAGTGTCGGCTAGGAATCAAATGTCTCTCCCGCCTCAAATACCATCAGTGAGGAAGTGCGTCTACGGGAGGACATAGGCGGGGAGGGATGAACTGGAGAATCCTGCCTACTGTGGGAGGACGATGAAGTCAGAAAGCAAACCGAAAATATACTTCTGATTGCCACCGTAAATTCAATTCTAGTTCATATCTTGACTGAAGCTTGGATTCCAAGGCCAGATCATTGTGTATGTTTGGGGTGCAATCGGAAATATATTTACCGTTGTAACCATAGGTGTATTTCCGATTTGTATCCAACTTTTATATACCATATTATATGTTTGGGCAAGGTGCGTACCGAAAATAAATTTCCGATTTTAAAAGATATTTTTGAAATTTTGCATAGTATGTTAAAAAACTATAGAATGGAAAAAGAAATCCTCTTAAGAATTTACAATTTGAAAAATGTTGCAAGCCCCCGTAATGCACATTTGAATTCTATATCATGAATTATGAGTTTCCTGAAGCACTTATGTTTTAAAATTGAATTACACTACTCTATATACAGAAGCTCTTCATGACTCTCTCACTAATGAGTTATCGAAGTGAAACTTGACAATGTACCTCAAATCATGTATTGTATTCGTTGCCAGCTACAATTCAAGACCGATAAAAAATTTACTTCACCAGATTATTTGTTGACATGGGTTCAAGATGGAGCAAAAAAGTTAAGATTTACTACTGTTATTTCAAAATCAAATCTAGGTGGAAAAATAAAAATTTATTTCGTGTGTTGAAATGTCTTCTTTACAGGTCAAGAAAATGGTTCTGCAATGTCTTTAACAGAACTGGATATATTGTTGATATGCTCAACTAAACTCTTTCCTGCATGGCTCTCAACGAAGGTCTGCATATTCCCCAGACATCATTCGGATTTGTGGAGAAAACCATTTGACGATTCTACCTCCAGTTTAGCAAATACAAACCTGACATAAAATAACATGTCAAGTTTGACGGTGTTCAATTTATAATAGAACACAACCGTAATCAGAAGCAAACAATATTAGGCATGAACGATGATGTAGGATTCTAGGAAAATAAAACAAACATTCTAAATTACTATAAACTTACTATTCCGGTATTTCTAAAGGTGCACAAATATAGTACACGATAAAGCCTAACTAACAACTACCAACAAGAAAAACCACATGTCAATCCTGACCAGGTGCATTGACCGTATCATAATTGACACTGATAATTGAGACATGTTAATCAAATCTTTAAATGAATTTCGCAGATTAACATTATTTTATTAGACTTAGGTTTCAGGAATTGAAGAGGCGGAAAGTGATGTTAGTCTTGAATTGGGAAAGAGATTTGAACAACATCTGATCTGAGTATTTAACTTGCATAGAAGCAAAAAATAAAATGTTCTTTTTCTAGAACAACAGCGGAAAAAATTAATCTCAAAAACACTCATTTTCATAAAACAAAAGACTTGTAGTTGTACCTCATTTTCTAAATCCTGCAAGATACTTGAAGAGAGAGTAGAGTAAATAATAACATATAAATCTCCAGCAGAAACAAACCATGAACAAGAACATGTAAGTTTAAACCGAGGAAGGAAAAACACACACTGATGTGAAAGTTATTTAGTAGTGTTATAGCGTATGCTAATGTGAAAATTAATTAACAATATATATTGATGGAAAAATAACAGACAGGAGAGAAAGTCAAGAAAGAAGCACAATTTTATTGATGGAAAGAAAGATGAGCATTAGAACATGTGTGTAGTAAAAGGAGTAATGTTAAAACCTGAGATGGAAGGCTGCAAGGAAAGAGTTCTAATTGACCAACGTGAGGAAAAAATATTAAGTAAAGACATTTACATAAACAAACTGATGAGTAAATGCATAAATAACATTTATTAGACTAATAGATTAGAGAAGAATTTAACACGTGTCACAAAAGTTTGATACAGTCGATGCATTAAAACCAACTCAGTACTATATAATGAAGTCATATAGAAAAAGGAGTACCTGAAATATTTCCAGTCCACTGTTGTTAGGATTATAGAATTCTTGATTTCCTAACCGTTGTTGTTTCTTCTCTTCCTATGTCAATGATAAGTAAAACATTTACTAGACTTGTGTGTAGGTTGTGAGTACAAATTTGGTCTACAGCAGCAGCAAGATTGGGCACAAGCAGTGGTGACACAGAACACAACTCTGATTAAAAAAAATAAGTTAGTGTTCGTGTTATAATATTCTATTTTGATGTTGTTATTGAAATTAACAATATTTATTGAAGAAAGACACAAAAAAGAAGAATGTCAGAGACTCACCCAGACATGAAACTCATGTGATTATTTTGTCATTGATGATTATGAAGGGGATTTGAGCAATCTTACGCCATTCTCTCCCTCGCTTCCTTCTCAAACTTGCTTCCAGTAACGGACAACAAGTGATACTTAGTAGAGAAAGAGAGGAAGGCAATCCGTCTTTTGGCAAGGACTTGAGTTTGGGAGCATTAACAATTTCAAGTTTTTGGAGAGAGTTCAGATGTTGAAACCATTTCCCATCAATGACTTTATCCTTAAGATCATAGATGCATAGTGTCACAAGTGATGCTGGTAGAAAAAGCCCCAACAACATGTTATCATTGCCGTTAATTCGCAACACTGAAAGACAGGTCAAATGTTTCCAAACTGGCCCATAATTCTGCATAATACCTCCAACAGAACCGATAGTCAGTTCTTGTAAGCTGCTAGGAAAATCATAAATGACTAAATATTGAAGATTTGGTAGATTATCAATTTCCATTACTCGAAGGCCAGTTAGAGTGTGCATTCTTGTTGGTAGTAAAGGAAGCTTCTCACACTTCCACACGGCAAAACAAACGAGGTCTGGAGTGGCTAATCCACCAGGGGGAAATAACTCAAGTTCATTACAATCCCATATTTTGATGCTTCTAAGAAATGAGAGACTCTTTGGCGACGCATCTTCTGCAATTAATATCGATTTCAAATTTTTACTACCCTCAATAAACAGACTCTTGAGGACCGGGAGAGCGCCCAAGGTAAATGATATCATTGAATTGCAGCTATATGATATTTTCAATTCCTCAAGTGATATGAAATTGTGCAAGTATTCCTGGGGAAGAAACTCTAGATTTTCACAATTTTTTATTATGAGAACTTTCAAAGTTTTCTGTAGACCGTCTATTGGAAAAAACGTTAGAGATGGAAATCCGTCTATGGTCAACTGTCGAAGAGAAGTGAGAGGGAGCATCAATCTGTCGAATACATCGGACGCTGGAATTATAATAATGAAATTGTTATTATCATATGAATTTCTTGACTCCACCAGTAAAGGACATTCTCTTAACTCAAGTTCAGTTAAGGAAGGAAGATTGTGAGGCATGTCTCCTCGCAGTTTCGGGCACTTACTTAGTAACAAACATTTTAGACTAGGAAAATCTGCAGTCGTGCCTCCAATCATGTTCCACTCCTCCCACTGTGGCATATCCTCAAAGCGTAGAGTCTCCAAGGAGGGAAATGGTTGAAATGAAAGAGAACTATCACTTCCATAGAACTCTATACCAACACTCCTTAATGAAAGCATCAAATCAATATTGAGTTCTTTCAAATTACCCAATTGTCCAAGGGGTGGAAGCCATGTGCAGTTATAACAATTTGAGATCCTTAAGTACACCATGCTGCCAAATAAAGAATCACCCAACCAATTTGGAATGTTGATTCCACCATAGCCTTTGATGGTGAAACTTTTCAAATTTGTTGAGGGTCGCAAATGTTCAAGTACATTTCTTTGAACTTGTGGATCTAAAAATGTAGCACCATGATCCCATTCTAACGATAATGTGTCTATTTGTTCTTTCATCTTCATATTGGCTTTAAAAGTTTCAACGGGATTATTAACATTTTGTAGCTGTGTGATGGAAAGTTTCCCAAGCAGGTTGGGAAATTTTCCTAGCTCTGCAACCTTCAATCCACCATTATCTTTGCTGACAACAAAGTCGGACAACATTTGGAGATTTTCTAGTTTGGTTATTTGAATCGGTATCTCCCTCAATGCAGTGTAACTAATGTCAAGGTGGCGTAGATTAACCAATTTTCCTATGTCCTCTGGCATCTCCTTCAACGCGGTGTTACTAACGTCAAGGTAGTATAGTTTAACCAATTTTCCTATGTCCTTCGGCAATTCAGTGAACCTTTTACAGCCCGCCAACAGCAAGAATTGCAGATTGTAAAGCTTGCATGTTTCTGAAGACAACCTTTCAATCATAGTGTGAGAAAGATTTAAGTACCGCAGGTCTAACAAATTTCCAATACGGTTGGGAACCTTAGTGATACTCTTGTAGTTTGATAGAGACAACACGCGTAATTGTTTCATTTCTGGCAGCGTGTCATGTACTACCTTGTTTGATAGCAAACAAAGAGGCAATTGTTCTTGTAACGGTAATGCTAGAAAGGTACACAGACCTTTTAATCTATATAATTTATCAAATTTATCATATGAATCATATGTCTCTCTATTGTATGATAAGTTACGCACCCGATCATCTAGGTTGTGTTCGTCCATATTGATACAATATGGAGATGAAACCTCTGCAGCTAAATCATGGATGAAGTTGTGCATTTCAAAGTTTCCTTCCTCATCACCAATAGATCGTCGATGTATCAACGACCTTGAAACTAGTACATCAAAGTATTCATCTCCAACTTTTTCCTGATCCGTGGACGATTCTACTAAGCCTGCTGCAATCCACAATTGAACTAGCATCTTTTTTTCTAAGATGGATTTTTTTGGAAAAATTGAACAATATTCAAAACATCGTTTTAAAGGATCAGAAAGAGAGTTGTAGCTCAATTTGAGAGAAGCTTGCACCTCTTGAACCTTCTTTTTTAGCACATAATTCCAGACACTGGGGTACGATGAGATGCGAAGAAGAGTCCCATGTGCTACTGCAGCTAATGGCAATCCATCACACTTACTTGCAATTTTTCTGCCAATTTTTTCTAGATTGAATCGTCGTTGGTAGTTATGTTCTCCAAATGCGTGTTCGTCAAGTAAAGACCAGCAATCTTTAACGTTCAAGGGTCCCAGATAGTGGACAGAAAGAAAGGTATGCATGGATATTGCAATTCTTTCATCTCGTGTTGTGACGATGACCCTACTCCCTGTTTCCCCAGCATTGAAGATATCCATAAGTAATGTCCAATTGACAAATCTTGCATCCCACACACCATCCAATACCAGCAAAAAATTTGGGTATATGGTACTTGTATCATTGCTTGTGGTTGCTTGTGAAGTAATAGATTCAAGAATGTTTTCAAAATCACTCAAATCATTAACATCTTTAGAGAAATCTGCCCACAATTTTAACTCAAATTTGTGCTTAACTTGAGGATGATTGTAAAGGTGTTTAGCAAGGGCTGTTTTGCCAATCCCTCCCATACCAACAATAGAAATGACTCTTATTTTACTATCACCATCACTAGTACTAGACAACAAAAGATGTTTAAGTTTCTCAATATCAGAGTCTCTTCCATAAAAAGAAGATCCATCATCATCACCACCAAGTTGTTTTGCTGAACTTAAGCCTTGTAATATTTGAATTAAATTATCCGTTTTAGACTTAATGACGTCAATGAAAAAAGCAAAACGAGAATGACTCTTGAGCTGTTTAGCACTAGGTACAGTAGCATACCCTAAAAAATCGCATTCGTCAAGTAAACTGGCAACTTGAAAAACAGCAGGTGAGAGCATATCCAGCAATTCGTCGATAACTTGAGTGTGGATGAGTTTGTTGTTAGCATAATAAAGTACACCGTGAAGACTCATGAGTATTTTCTTCACATTTTTCTGGGATAGAAACAATCTATTCACGTTCATGAAGTTGTCGAGGAGCTCGATAGAAACAATCTTTTCTAACAATGCCTTCACGGAGTTTGAGAGTGGCAACAGCTTTTCTCTCTGAAATTGAATGGCCTCCATCAATTGATTTCTTTGTAAGAAGATGAAGAAGAATAGTTTGAGAACGAAATGACAACAAAATGAAGAAATCCTATCTTTGATTTTTGTAAGTCTTTTCTTTCACCCGTGGTTGTAGAAAATCAGATCAAGTGGCTACCGAAGCGGACATTTATTTGTTTTATCCAGAAAACAAATCTGTTTCTTTCTCTCTCTTCAACAGCTGGTTCACATTGCATAAGATAGAATTTACACGGAAGAGAATCTACTCCACTATCTAGGACGTGACTGGATAAAAAAATCTAATTAAACCGACAATTTAAAATTAACTAAATCAAATCAAATTAAAACCAATTATTTCTGGTTTACTTTGAACTAAATTAATAAAAATTAATATGGTTTGGTTTAATTCTCGGTTTTAATTTTTAGAAACTATCAAACCAGTAAATTGAATCAATGAAAATAATTATGCACTAAATATTTTATTCCACCAACGTTAAGTCTAATTTTTTTATTAGTCAAATCATTCTCCATTTTTGTTTACTCTTCATTCCTTTCGACAAAACACGCTTCTAAAATCAAAATCCAAAACATAGAAAATAGAAATTATACGTCACAAAAAAATTGCTTTCACTGACTGTTGCTCTCGCTGCCGCCACTATTGTTGCTCTCACCATCGTCAATTTTATATGTTATGATCGCCTTATTCGTGTTTAAGTTCTCTAAGTTAATTTTCATTTTTTTAAATCTTTTTTGTTTCTTCTTTAACAAAATTTCTTCTAGTCTTGTTAGAAAATAGTTTTTATGTGTATTTGAGGTAGAAATATGTTAATTGATGTGTATTTATTTGTTAAACTTTCAAATCTCTTTCAAACATTCTGATGTCAAGTGTTAACTTTTATATTTGATAGTCAACTTATTTCATGAAGTAATGGAAATCATGTAATTATTTCGTATAGATTAAAAGCAATTTGTAGTTTGTTTTAAAAAAATAGCATTAAATGTATTATTTTGAATAATAATAGCATAAAATACATCAGAAAAATACGATAGTGAAGAATAAACTGATGAATATTGAACTTACCGGTTGATCAGAACCTGCAAGGTGGCCGGATGATGATCTTCAGACGGGCTGGAAAGTCGAGGAGGAAAAATAGGGATTGTAGCTACAAGGCACTCCGACAATCAAGTAAGCGAGAGCGCAAAAGAGATACAAGCAAAGTGTTAGAGTTTTAGTGATGAATAGTGAATATTCGATACTTGTTTCTCAAATGTGTGAGGATTTATATAATGTCCTCGGGACTTGGCCATTGGTCCCTATTTTTGGGCCTATATATGTGGGTCCGCAAAAATAGGTAACTGCCAAGACTCAGTCAAAATGGGAAGGTATGCCCGTAGCTAGCCTTTGGATCCGAGGAGGAGGCGAATTACGAGCAGATGGTCGTTCTGGATGTTTTCTGGTTGTCTACTCGACTCGTGTCAGCCTGACAGGAGATAATTGCTGACTGAGTCAGACGTGCATATCGGGCATCGCTAGTCGTGTGCTCGGGGATGTGGTCGACTAGGATGCTGGGCCACTGCTGTTGGGTAATGCCAAGGATGGAAGCGGTTTGGGCCAATTCTAGTCATTGGGCCAGTCCAGAATAGGAGTCCCCTAAGTCGTTGCTTTTGGGCACAAGAGTGATGACTTAGAGTCAGTCCGTGAAAATGGGGATGCCTTCGCGTCAGCATTGCTTGAGGGGTGCAAATGATGTTTGCCTTGCGGAGAAGAGAACGATTGAGCGGCTCACTTCGAGAACAATTTTGTGCGAGGAGTTCGAGGATTCGCCCAGTGTTTCGATACCAGGGAGAGGGATCTGGAGAGGTTGCATACCTTGCATGCATCAAGCTGCGTGCTATCAGATAAGCATGATGATGGCTGGTCTAGGGGCTAGGGTGTGACGGTGACGCCTTTTACAGTTCCCCAGGCGTGTGTTTGCCTACGCGTTGGTGGACTCTGTCTAGAAAAAGAGGGGAGAGAGCTCTTTGAATATTTTTTGCCATCCTCTCGTTTTCTCGACATTTTTCGTTCTTTCCCGACTTCATCAGTTCCTGCTCGACTTCATCTGCTCATAAGATTTTTGCTTGTTCTGTTGTTCGCTGCCGTCTCTCATGGTTGATTCTACACTTAATCTGGTAAGTCCTCTTGGTCCTCTTTGTTTTAGCATTTGTCACTTTTGTTAGATTTTAAGGTTTCTAGAAAATGCATGTGGTTAGGGTTTAAGGCGACTGGTTTCTTAGGGATTTCAGTGGAATGTTGGTTGGAGATGGTGGTTCTGGAGGATGAGTGCGTTAAGGATACCAAGTGTCCTCCGCGGGGGAGTCTTTGGGATTGCAATGTCACTAGACAAATGTAGGAAAATCTTTGTGTGGATTCGATGGGTTTGGTCGGGGAAGGGAGGTCGTTTGGTAGTCATTTGAGTGAGGGATCTAGTTGGGGACAGGGTCCTCGTTCCTTGACGCCCTTTCACTTGATTAGTGGTGGAAGGATGGATTTGAAGTTGACATTAAACTCACTTTCATCCTCTGCTTTTCAGGTATGATGACTACTAGCGACGATGAGTTTCTTAACGAGCCCAGCGATTTCACTCAAAGTTATGCCAAGAGCACGTCCGACGAGGCGAGCACCTCGGGGGCGTACGAATCCTCGTCGGGGGCACTCGAGCCAGAGGTTCCCGGTAATGGGGATGCTGAGGGGGACGTGGAGGCTGATCCTATTGATTGAGATGGTCCCAGCGTGCCTGTAGACGAGAAGGGTCCAATGGATCAGGTTGCGTCGGGTCCGTCGAGGTATATCTCCTACTTTATTGATCATATGGATGAAATATTCACCTTGTTGGATCCGAAGATGGATTGAGAGGGCGCCGAAGAGCAATGGGCAATCTACATTCCGAACAAGAGGAGTTGAATCTGCTCACGGTTTGAAGCTCGCCGGTTCCCTATGTACGAGATTATGTTCAGAGAGATAGGTTTGCGACTTCCTTTCTCAGATTCCAAGTGGCGGTTTTTAGGCATCTTCGTCTGGATCTATCCTATCTGCATCCAAATTTGATGGCTTTCCTTTGGGCCTTCGAGACCGTGTGCGATTATTTAGGCGTCGGGGCCATTGTCCCTTTGTTCTTTTACTATTTCCACCTTCAGAGGCAGTCGTTTGGTGCTCAATATGGTTGGGTCGCTTTGAAGCAGGCGAATGGCAAGATGTTCAAAGCGTACCTTGAGTCAGTCCGTTTTTTTAAGAAGAAGTTTATGCTTATTTAGCCTGTTTCATATAGGGCATTGGTGAGTGTCTTTCGGGTTGCTCATGGCGTACACTGAGGGGGTACTTACCTGGAATTCAAGTTGAGGAAGTTGCGATCATAATTGGCCGAGACGGAGAAGGAGTACGCTGATGAGAAGACTGACCAAAAGGTAGCGGAGGACAGGCTGGGGAAGTTGTCTATGGATCACAAGGCGCTTCTGCTCGAGAAGAAGGCTTCTGACGAGCAGGTAGCGGCCTTGATTACTGAAGTTGCCCCCGCCGAGGATGAGCCCGAAGAGGCCAAAGGTTTGAGGACCCGAGCTGATCTGGTTGCTCGCTTACAACTGGCTTTGGATGATGCTTTGGCTGTTGCCGAAGGGAGCTTTGATAATGTTATGAAGCAGCTTCAGGTTCTGAACCCCGCGGTTGAACTGAATGTGACCGGGATGGGTCTTCATCATTACGTGGCAGATGTCCAGATCGTAATTCCTGACTGTCTCAGAGGTGTCAGGGAGCCATAGCGTCAAGAGCCCGTTACCGAGGAGGATCCCCATTCAGATGCTTGATTGTTATCTAGTTATTTCTATTTCCTAGTCTGCGTGCCGCTACGTTGTAATTTATTTTCCTGGGTTTTTACCCGTTTATGTAATTTTTGAACAACTGTGGTCCTTATGGCCACAAAGTTATTTTGTTGGATGGGGGGCCAGGGACCCCTCTTTTTGTAAAATTCATATAATGGCGGCCTTAGTGGTCGTTCATTTTAATTTTTCGGCTATGGTGGTCATTTGTTTAAATATTTGTGTTTGCATGTTTATTGTTATGCTCGCCTGCTTGAGACATTTTATTTTGCTAAGGGTTTATAGTGGGGAATTGCTCTTTTGATTTGTATGTTCGCCAGTGTAAGTGTTTATTGGCATCAATTTTGGTAAAACAATGACTTGTTAATATTTTGTAAATGTCTTAACATTTGGAGCAAAACAGTTTTGAATGATGTCAAAACAGATGTCTTGACATCTGCCTCCTGAACTGATCTCAGCCCAACATCAATTTAAGTTATATGTTTTCTGTTTTCATGCGTGGCATAATTCAGGATTTGTGACTCACGGGCTGCAAAAAATATGGAGGAATATTTTTCAAATTGCATGAATTTTATCTTAGCCTGTTTTTATGGAAATATTCAAAAGATTTGAATATTTGATTTTAAGCCCAAGTCCACAACTGCACATATATAAGGATTTGCTTCCTTATTCAAAGACAAGCAACTTTTGAAGAAGAATACTTTCTTTCTTATTAGAAGTCTAAGCTTTTTATTTGTAATATACTCTAAGTATTAGTTTAAATACTTGAGTTGTTATCTGGGTTGTTAATTGTGTATCATTCATAAGCTTTTAAGCATTGAATGATTGAAGTGTTTCAAACTTATTAATTATGTTAAGTTCTTCACTGTAAGTGATTGAAGGGATTTGAGGATGGCCTCATACCTAGGTGAGTCTTAGGTAGAAGTTTAGCTTGTGTATTGATTAAGTGATTAGATCATAAACTGATTGTTTACTGAGGGTCTATGAATTGATACTATTTAGTGAACTTATCCTTGGCTTGGTAGCCCCCAGAGTAGGTGTTGTTGTATACTGAACTGGGTGAACAATCTCTTGTGTTTTTACTGATTTTGATTTTACTGCACTTTACTTGAAAACATATATTTGTGTCGTGACATCTCATTCAACATCATATATCTGATACTAGAATT